TTTTTTTTCTTTTGAGGTGGGGTCATTTTTTATTTTTACATACACAGAGCTGTACCATGCATTCGTGTGGCTTTTGTGACTTTCAGGGTTGTAAAATAGATTCAGGTACTAAACGACACGCCGGTAGGGTATGGGTAATGAATACTACCTATGATATCATTGTCCCATATATGAAACAATGTTAAAACAAAGTCTCTTGTACCAAAATTAACTGACATATAATGTTATGTCCCTAGGACAACAAAGGAAATGAGGCTTGCGAGCCAAAGTGTTAAAGAAAATTTTGAAACACTGAAATATTTTATTCGACTGGCTTTCAATAGTTTCTTGTAATCCTATGTTTGAACATTTAAAAAAAAAATGTATAATTCTTAATTTTTGAAAATCCTGTCTAAATTTGAATATTTTAAAACCACAAAATACATGGCGATGATCCTTCTCGCAGTTTAGAGCAATATCTTGCTTTCTCGAGTTAAAGACTTGGGCACAGCTCGTATAAAGTAAAATAAAGAGATAATAATAATAATAATAATAATAATAATAATAATAATAATAATAACAGACAGAAAATTGAAGCAAATAGGCGGACATTATTGTCAAAACCAGAAAGAAAAATTGCCTACTAATTGCAGCATCCAGCGGATTGTAACATAGCAACCAAGAATTTGAAAAACTATCAAAATACAAAGACCTGGAAATTGAAATAGAAAAAAATGGAAAGTGAAAACAAAGAATAATACCAGTGGTAATAGGTGCACTTGGAATTATAAAAATGGAACAAAACAACACATTGAAAGAATCCCTGGAAACCCCAGCTTAAGAGACATACAGAAATTTCTTATTAAGTACAGCACACACAAGGAGAACTTTGTCTATGTAACGCTAGCAACTTCATCGGAAAAAAAAAAAAAAAAAAATTAACATGAAATGTGGCCATAACAACACACCACGACCTGCCTTGGGTCTTTCCGCAGACTTGGTAGGTAGTGTGTCCATAACAGAAATCGAATGATGATGATAATAATAATAATAATAATAATAATAATAATAATAATGGCAGCCACAAGACACGGGTTATAAATATCAGACACAAGATATTATGAACTTTCTCTGTCTAGACAGATTATGTCATTTAAACACGAAGACCCGACCTTATTTTGATAGATAAGAAATTGGCAATTGTCAAAATTATTGATTTTTGCTGTTCCATATGGTACAAGAGTGGACTCCAAAAAACTGAAATGACTGAAAAATACCAGGTTCTGGCTATGGAGTCGAAGAAGCAATTGATCACAAATGTTTAAATAACTCCCGTAGTAATGGGCCGTAAGTTCTATGATGATAGTTCCTTTTCTTCTCGTTTTCGGAATTTACTTCCGGTTTCCTGCTTTCTTGTTAACAATGATCTTCAAAGTTTAAATTAAACGTCAGTCGTCATCGAACATGAAAGAAGTAAGAAATTTTATTCAGTAATAACGAAACCAAGAAATTCAAATGAAGTTTCAAGTGTGTGAAAATGCAAGTAAAACATAATCCACCTACTGAAGCTGCAAAAACCATAACAAAGAAGCAAATGCAATCGACCAGATAAAGAAACGATAAACCTCATCATGATCAATATTCAGCCCGTACCAAAGAAGCTGATGTAGACAAACTCCATACTTATCAGTGGTACATTTTTGAAAAAGGAACTATTGGCAGCTATACATTTTTTGAAAAGAATATGTCGAGCAATAAAAATCTTGTCGGCATTGGGGTTGATATGCCGTAAAACAAACAAACTTAAAGAATTAATGGATTTTATTTTTTTGATCTGACATACTCGTATTACTTCAAACGTTATCTTTTAGTGGATGCCCATATTTGAGTAGACGTTCCATTTATTTTAAATAGTAGTTATTTCCTCTACCGGCCTGCGTACACGAGAAAACTTATTAAAGAAAATTTGACCTCCGGGAGGATTCGAACCTGTGTCCTCCTTTGCCAGAAAAACCACCACCACTGATCTTGGCTAAAAACAGGCTTCAGAATCAAGCGGAATTCCAGAGGTGCTGAATATAACATCAATCAGGTAAGTGACAAATTTTATATTTGTATTAATTAATTAATTAATTCTTTCTTTCTATCAAGCTATATATCTATAAATACATAGATATAGACTTTAAACTGACACTCACCATGCAGTGTTGATCCCGATGTCCACACCGCCTATGCTGGTGAAATCTACGTCTTTGTCTTTGTCTATGAAGATGTTAAACTGGAGTTATCATTGGCTCGTCTTCCTCAAATGAACAGCAACAATGAGCCAGAGATGAAGATGAATACACGTGTCCTATTCAAGATTACATATAGATTTTTAAGCACAAAGCTGGAGAAAAAATTGCTTGATTAATCAATATATATATATATATAAATATATATACTCGACTCTCCCGTCGAATTCGACGCATGAGGGTCAAGCAGATCACTTGATCGGAACAGACAGCCCGACATCAGCACATGAGATTTGATTATAATGGTAAAAGTTTTGTGCAGAATCAACATTTTTTGAAGGGCCGAATAGAGAGACTTCCGCAGGTTTTGAATTTAGAGTTGCCATCCAAGGCTATAGAACTCAGTCTGTCCTGATATTTACCCATAGCTGGAGGGAGAAGAAGAGGATTCATACATTTCCCAAGGGTATTAGCACGTAAGTGAATGTAATGGATTTGACTAGAATATATATATATATATATATATATATATATATAAGTGAACATTGAAGTCAACACTCAGACTGCTTCATCCTAATCGCAATCGATGATTGCGTTTAGCATGAAACAGTCTGTCGCCTCTGAGCATTGACGTCAATGTTCACTTTATATTTACATACGCTCTATTTCTGATATTGTGCACTTTATCCTATAAATATAGCGTACCTTAAAAATATATTTCTTCATATATATATATATATATATATATATATATATATATATATGCATACCTACAGACATGTATGTGTGTATTTTCTTAAGAATTAGGAGATTTGTTTTTAATTCGGCATTTTTATTATTTCAAACGTTACTTTTAGTGGATACCCGTTTTTGAAATAGAATCTTCTTTTTTATTTTACTGCGCACATTTTCTTTATTACGTTTTCTCGAGTGCGCAGGCCGATAGACGTAATACCGACAGTTCATAATAAAAAAAAGACGTCTATTTTAAACACGGCTATCCACTACAAATAATGTTGGAAGTAATGTATGTTTGTATTTATGTATGAACATACGAGGGTGTACCCAAAGCTATCAGGAATTATTAAAGAGGCGCCATTTCAATCTTCTCCCAAATCATAGCATACATTCCAACATGTTCGTTTTTTGCTTGTGTGTGGGTGTTTTTTTTTTTACTCCTGTCACTAAATGGGGTACAAGTATTACAGAAATGCGTTTAATTTTCCAATGTTCTATTTATATTCACTGTCTTGAAATCCAAGACAAACCATTCACCAGAGATAATTCATCAATGGCCTGTCGGTGATTTTCATTGCATACATTTTCAAGATCTTAGTCATTTCGCCTTCTTGAAGGTCAACCAGATCGTGTCTAATTTTCAAGTGCCATTTGGGCACGTTTGAAATGCGAATACCACACGTACACTTGTATTATGCTTAAAGCTTCGACCTTAAAAGCTTCTTGAAACATTATAACACTTTCAACAGCAGTTCATAAAACTTAAGGCACATTCTTTGTTCTTTTTTTTATCAGTAAAATTCGTGTTTATTTCTTTTTTTTAACTGATCAAATGAGTCTGTAAACAGAAGGACAAAACGAAGCAAATTGTTCAACTCAGAATCACGCTACGCGGTGGTAAAATGATTCAAAATAGTGGCGAAACGTAATACCACCAAAATTGCATTGTAGAACTACGTATCAGTTCTTGCGTCACATTCTATATATTTTTGTTAATATAATAGGTGTACCTACCTACAAAAATGAAAGTATATATATATATATATATATATATATATGAAGAAAAATATACGGAAAAATCAAACAAAAATCCTAATATGCAATTATGCTGTTTTAATGTTAATATAATGTAAACGTCGGACGTTTCGGTCTAGTAGACCATCTTCAGGCCATATTCATAAAACATAATTAACATTAGACTATATTTAATTCAACATGAAAAGACGATGGACATAAGAGTAATACTAATCAAAACAGATAACTGAAATTTTTCAAGATCAGCGTTCCGTTTCAATATGATCACGTCGGCGTCACGTCGGCGATGTTGTGAAAACGTATTCCTAAAATTGAGTATTTTGAATGAAAAATGAAAAGAATTTTATTTTAATATAAATATAGGTGGATGTATAATAATAACTGAAACAAAAATCGAATATATTTTGATTTATGGTCAACACTTATTATCAGCGATCCCAAGGCGTTTTACTCACATACAGTTTTTTGTCTTTCATTCGTACCCGAGGAAGACAAATAGAGCAGGCTCTCTCGGTGAAACGCGTCGTTAATAAATTTTATACTTATCATCTTCAGTATATATATATATATATATATATATATATATATATATATATATATATATATATATACGTTATCCTACCTGGTAATGGGAATGGTGAGATTTGCCGTTTCCTTCTGCGGCATTCATTTGGCACTCTTTGATTAAACTTTTAGAATTACTTTCTTTTGAAATTTACAAAATATTTCTTTTTAAAACAGTATTTCGGGAAAATAGATTTCACAAGTGCCCTAACTGTTGTCGCTCTTTCCTTCGTAAACTTTTGTTTGAGCTAGTGTGGAAAAAACGTGCTATAAAGTTAATATGATGGCTTACGTTTAAAACAAAACAAACAAATCGCAAAATCCAGAAAGGAAATATAGGTCCAATGTCAAAAATGGCAATGCACATAAAACCGCTAAAAATCAACCGCGCTGTCCAACAGTCACATTCGAAAAACGCTCCGATCGGATTAAAAAAAAGTAACGTCAGACATGCGGAGTGGGGCAATTGCAAATGGCCGCTCCTCGCGATCACGCGTGACATCGTCGCTTCCTCGCGACGTTCACCATGTTGGATTTACACGCCAAACATATGCATGCCCGCTTTGCCCGGCGTGGTAAGTGTATTCTCTCACTGTTGTGAATATAGATTATCTCCTCTTTGATAATCCAAGCTATAAAAGCTGTACATTTCCGCTTGTCAAGTAGACGAGTAGTAAGATTCTTATTTGAATAAAAGATTACTAGACAGAATCTCTTGTCCTATTTTCATTACACTCACTACAGTCCGCATCTTGATTATGTTATTATTTTTACTTTGGGTTGCATATGCTGTCCATTTTAATTGTTGCTGCTGTTGTAATTCTTCAAACAATGCGGATATTGTTATTTGGTAAAGTTCTTTATTTGTGATTCTGTATTCCCGGAATCCGACGAAGGACAGTCCTTTTCAAAACAGACTTCATTTGCTTGAGGCGATTTTTAATAATTTACCCGAGAACAATTATATATAGACGAAGGTTTAGACGTTTCTGAACACGTTACACTCTTTGCATAACATCCATTTGTGTCTAGTTCTCACCAAGTAAACGCCTAAAGATGCCTATAGGTTACTTGATTGAAACGTTATATTTTTAAAAGTAACATCTTGAACAATACAAGTTGGAATAAAATATATTAATAATTCAGTTTTGAATTTAATACTTTGTAGATATTATTTACATTATTTACATGCGGACTAGTTTATAGCTTTTCGTAGAGTGCACACACCTAAACGCCCTGTTGCATTTTCCTTGAGCTCAGACACTTTTATATTGTCAGCGTTTTTCAAATGTTTAACATCTGGCTATAGTTTGCAGATTTCATAATCAAGTTATGAGACTTCTCGTCGTGTTTTTTTTTCCTTTTTGTCCAATTTAAGACAAGCAAGTAAATCAAATAAAATCGTTAACATATGTTGAACGATGTTTTTCTTTAAAGTCAGGTCCCAGTTACAACTTATAATTGAATCTGGATAACAAAATGCAAAGGAGATCCACTTTCATGTGTATCATTCTGTATCTGTTTTAATGGAAAAATCAAAGACTAATGAATTGATAGTTTGTATCATTGAAAGATTATGTTTGTCCAAACGAAATCTCTGCAACTTCGGGACATATATATATATATATATATATATATATATATATATATATATATATAAGCAGTGCGGATACATACATGATGACCGAATGGCGATACTCTGTTTAATGATTAAATAAAAATCTACGAGCCTGAAGATTGCGTTTTAATATGAGACAGATTATAGCAATTTTTCTTAATGTTTGCATTTACACTGCGGATATTTACATAGGCTCTATCCCGCATATTTAGCAGTTTTGCCCCTCGGTATAGACTTTATTTTATTTATATATTCATATTTTATCAGACACACTCACACACACACACACACACACACACACACACACACACACACACACACACACACACACATATATATATATATATATATATATATACAAATATATATATATATGTAAGTGGATATAAAAAAGTTCCAAGAACGACGAAAAACCTGAGACACCTGCCTTTTGAATACTAGTGTCTATGTAGTTATTTTGGAGCATGTAGCTTGTCGGCTCCTGGTAAATACCTTGAAGAATTCCTTTCCCTCAACGTTCCCGATAGAGATTGGACGAAATTGACCAAGAGTCAACGAATTCTCCTCTTTCGGTATGTACACACCAGCAGTTCGACAACAACACTCCGAAACATCGCTAACTCCCCAAATGTTCACAAGAAGCCACCACAGACACCTCAGCAACCTGGGACACCTCTTGTAGACAGTATATGTCAAACTATTAGAACCACCCGCGAAACATGCTTTCGACTTCCGAATAACTCTTTGGACCTCCTTCCAAGTCACTGCGGACTCGTCAAAAGCTAATTCAAGGTACCAGGCCTGAATAAACTTGGCATCACCTCCGCTGAGACCTCCCTGTTGGCATCACAGTACGTGCTTATAAGGTGTTTCTACAGCTCCTCACGCTCAACGCTCGGCGTCCCACTAGTCCTACCCTAAACAACTGCTTCGTGAAGCGGAAAGGATTTTCCGTGAAGGACTTCCGGGCTCTGGCAGCCTTCTGTCTTTTTGGGGCAAGCCGTTCTGCTCTACTCAACTTGCCAATGCACTTCCTTGTGCCTTCCAGGATTGCCTTGATTTCCTCTGCCATCTGCTCATCAGCACGCATTGCTGCTTGTAATCTTCGCATCTCTTTGGCCGGATGATTCTCCACCGTCGATTTTCCTGCACTGGAGCAAAGGACTTAGCTTTTATTTCATTCAGTCCAAACTTTATTACCCCATAGTCACTGATCATGTTCCCAAGCTGGTGGACTTTCCTTCCTGGATCGCCCCTGAGTGTATGGATGGCTACTGAGAAGTCTCCATCCATCTCTGACCATGCTCGATACACAGAGGAAGGCCACTTGATAATTCGGCGACTGGATTCAACTTCGAAAAAAGGATCCTGCAGGACACTGTAGTGTTCATCCTGGTTCCAATACTCCGACGACTTATCGACTACTGCCGTGAGCTTCTTTGTCACTGAATCACCGCCATATTACATCTTGGTCTGGTGTATCTTCGCTGACTTGAAGACTATTTTACAAGCCATCACACCCTCTCTGGTTCTCATGGTTGTCATTACCAGATCATTTGTCCGTTTTTAAACCCCTTGTAATCGTAACAAGTCGCGTGGTTTTACATCCGACACGAAACAGGCAAAATGGGTCGGAAGATTACCTACTGGTCCGGATTTGTCAGACTTCAGGCGGGCGCGATCTTCAAAAGGTTACCCAACCAACCATCTCTACATGCGCAGGCCAATCCTCAGTGGCCATAAGGAACTGTTGTAGAACCCGATCGCACACAGGCACTGCTTCTTGCAAAAAAAAAAAAAAAAAAAGCAGGTCGGGGTGCTCACACCTCGCAGCCCTATCACTGCCGTCACCGCACTATCACGGTTGAAATCATCCTTTCATGGTTGTCAATGGAGAACCAGAGGTAGTAAATACATGTACACATCAAGTGTTCCAGACCAGCTGCAATCTTCAGCTGAATTTGATTACATTTTTGTACCCAACGTCCGTAAAGCCGTTTAATATATGCTGATTTTCTAAGCGTAGCTTAGATATGGTATAAGATCGAAAGAATTAGGCACCCAGTAATGATCGAACTCACTACTGCAATCGTTAGCTAACCATTACAACACGCCGAAGTGCTCAAAAAAGTTCAATATATGAATATTATTCAATGTACACGTGATTAAACCTGTAGGTAGAAGAATTATAGCAATTGATCACATATAGATCAATATCCACTGAGGTGAAAATGTCTGGAAAGTCCCTTGATTGCTAGTTTAGACACGATAAATTTGCTTCCAGGCTGTACATCATCATTTTTGGTAGATTTTATATAGATCAATATATAGGTTAATAAGCAACATTCAACCTTTGTGTTCGCAAAATAAAAAAAAATAAAAAAAACAAACAATGTGTCTAAAGCAGGGGTCGGTAACGCCCGGACCCCGAGCCACATCTGGCCCGTGAATGGTTTTTGGCCGTTGCGCTAACTTAATCGTATTAAGGAATTTGCATTTTTTGTTGACTGTGTTAGTTGTTATATCGCTATTCCTGCAGTAGAATAAGGAACCTTGTTTAAATAATTTAACATTAAATTCGTTGTTTTTTACTTTAAACCTCCAGAGTAATGTATCCTTCTGAACGCAGCGGTCTGAGATCGAATCAATTTATTATAGTGTATTTGATAGCATGGACCTCATTCGAGACACTGCATAGCTGTCTGGCCCGCTCTCTCTAAAACTTGTCGACCCTTGGTCTAAAAGACGATTATTTCCGCTATTACTGTATGCACTTTTGACTCCCTCGGCATTTTTTTTCACAAGAATAAAAAAATATGTGAACCAAGTACAATGCGATATTTATTGTTTACCGTTTATATAAATTTATTATTTACGATTTAATAAAGAAATAAATTTGAAAAGAAATCGTTCTATTTCAAAATTTATTAAAAAAATTTAAAAATTATCAAACTATGTAAACCAACTACAATGCAATATTTATTATTTACCATATTATAAATAAATATAGAACAAGAACATTTAAATAAACATTTCGGTCATTCATTAGTCTATCGTATCAGCCAACATGGTTCTGCATAAAGGTCGGAAGGTAATTAGCGTGACATTTTGTGCCATAACATAGCTGGTCAATGTAGGTGATTGCTGGGTGACCAACCCGTCTGCACCATGGCTGGGTGTCCAAAGCAGTAGATCACTTGCAAGTTCTTGTTTTGCTCGTCAGCAGTGTCCTGCAAAGCGTATTCTGCGTTCAGGTAAGATTGTAAAATTATCGGGGAGGGGTCCATAGATCTGTGATTTAGTTGGATGTTGTCTCCAAGAGATGTTAAGTATAGCACTCAGCGTCTGGGTGTAGGTTCCTGGTTTGGTTTCTTTTGTTTTACAACATATCAACCTCAGTGGGTTATTTAATGCCGACAAGATTTCTTATTGCTGGTAATATTTTTTTCCTCAAAAATGTATTGCTGGTGATAATGTGTTGCTGGTAATAATTTTTCCTTAAAAAATCTTTTTGGTGGTATTAAAACGTATTTTTACACTTTCATAATGTTTTAACCCCAGTTTGGGGGTTAACTATTTGCCCATAGCTGGGACCCTAACAGGTGCTACCACTCCGGGTCAGTGTGGAGCTGAGAACACTAGCAATTAAGAGGTGGTTTCACGCTCCTCAAAAGCACCTGATCAGAGGTCATGCTGACCGATGTAGTTTATCGTCATACCCAGTCCAGTGTAGGTTCTATCAAGCTTAGACTCAAGGGTTTAAGTTAATGTCCATATATTAAAGCCGCCTCTAGAGTAGCACGTGAGAATCTCCGCTTGAGGTTGTTTGTAGATCAGATTTTCAGATTACATCCACTTTATTTAAAAGAATATTTGTTTCAGAGGAGGAGATGTCCTTTTTAGTGAATGTATGTGGTGTGGTGGAGTAATGGATAGCTGCTCGGATTTGGGAAAATGTGCTATTGGCCCTCACGCTGGCCAGTAGAAAATGGCCGCAAACTACATGAAAAATGCCGTAGAAGCATGAAAAAATTGTTTATTTCCACTATCGATGGGAGTTGGGAAATGCAAAGTCGGTCTTGGCCTTCCCGCTAACTTGAAGCATGTGCATGTAAAGTTAAGTGATAGCGATTGCTGTATGTGTCGTACGATTTTTGAATCAAGCACGGGCAACGCCGGGTCATGCTGCTCGTATAATATAAATATCTAAAAGTTTTGTTTTATTTTGTTATTTGTTTTCTTTAAGTTTTTACACAAGTAGATCCTGGTTTCTGTTTTACTAATTTCAAGTGACCCTAGCCTCTTCAGTTTTACAACATTATTCTCGCCAGTGTATCTGATTTTCGAAATGCGGTCATCCGATGACTTTTTACAATGTCCAATTCTTTCAACCTCTTTATATCATTTTTTTCTTTTTGCGTAAAAAGAAGATCTACATCATGTTCAACACACAAGGAGGCTGATAGCGAAATTTACCAGGTATAGTATATTGGTAAACATTCTGGTGTATGTCAATGATATATATATATATATATATATATATATGTGTGTGTGTGTGTGTGTGTGTGTGTGTGTGTGTGTGATGTGTCAAACTGACAGGCAGCATAAAATGTAGACTTTTAAGCCCATACACCATACAGTCATTATCTACAAACGCCCTTTCTCCTATATCTTCTCTTTTCTCTCTCTATCTCTACACACACACACACATATCCTATATATATATATATATATATATATATATATATATATATATAATCCCCATTTTCAGTAACATATCTCTTGAAAACGAGACAATAAACGGTCCCTTTAAAAGAATGCGTTCCGTCATTTTCAACGCCATATATAAATTCTGTGATTCAAAGTTTCGTTTATATATATATATATATATATATATATATATATATATATATATGTGTGTGTGTGTTTATATATATATATATATATGATTTTACCAATGCAGAAACGGCCATTGCGTGAGAGGTGTTTTTAAGGAACGTCTAGAGTCGAACAGCACATGACCCACGCTCTCGAAATTAAGTTAATCGATGCTGTTTTGCTTAGAATTCGCACAAATTTTATGTGATTCAATCACTCCATTTAGTAAATATTAGAGGTGCCCCAGAAGCACAACTGTTTAGTCGTATATTCATCAAACTTTTCAAGATCAATGCCATTTGACCCAATCGTTCTCATCTGAATGAATAACTGAAGGAATGAAATGTTGTATTTTCATGACACAGAGATCCCATTAAAAAACAGTTTTCTTAAAGAAAGCATATTCATTGAAACCTTTGTAGTGAGCGATTCCTGTACAAACATCGATGTGGACGTTCTTGAACTGTGCGCATTCGCTATTATGTTTAAAATCGCAATAATGTTCTAAGTTGCGTTTAAAACTCGGATGTTATGGCATGAGGCCAAGTTCCCTTTTTAGTGTCCTAATATATTAGTCAACTTGAATTGTCCTTCTAATGTACTGACCTATCTTAGAAAGATTTTTCTTAGGGAAAGTGGAGAAAAGGAGAGCAGGTGATAGATCAATATGTTTACAGATTCTAAAATAAATATGAATATCCTTTGAGACTGAACACTTTAATTACAAAGACCTTTTTATGTGACATGTCCTTTCAGGGCGTAGGCGATCATGGCTCTTTACTTCCCTCTATCCCTTGCAGCTCTCAGCAAGTTCCTTCCCTCTGCTTCCTCCCCCAGACCACGTTCTGTCATCCACTTGCTTAAGTCAGCCAGGTATGTCACCCGTTGTTTCCCCCTGTCTCTTCTTTCCTCTATTCGACCCGTGAGTATCAGATTCTCCAGGCCCTCCTTCCTCATTATGTATCCACAGAAACTTCAGCTACCTCTTCCTGATATTAAGTATAAGCCTTCTCCTTGTTTGCATCCCCTCTAGGACTTCATCGTTGCTCACACGCTCGGTCCATGATATCCTTAGCGTCCTTCTGTAGAACCACATCTCCGTCGCCTCGAGTCTCTTCTTCATCATTGAAGAAATCCAACATTCGCTGCCGTAAAGAAGGACAGATGTCGCGTAACTGCTCAGTATACTTTTCTTTATTACCAAAGATAAAAGCGTTATCTTCCAGTAATACACTGGTCGAAATTTTTTTATTTTTTTTATTTTTTGGTTAAGAAAAACAATTTTTGTTCTTGTTATTTCTCATATTCAAAAGCGCGTTTTCAACTGAATAAAAAATCATTTTGTCACGGCAAATTATGTTTTCGTGCGTTCACTTTAAGCAGATTATTAACTTTAATTTACGCCTATTTACGCATATTTATATACAACCCACATTTTCCGAAATGCTTAGCAGCTGCCCATAATTTGGTAACTATTGCGACAACATGGTGTCGACACAACAGGGTTCATCGCGGAAGTACGTTACTTACTGGATCCTGCAATAACAAAGCAAGAAAACCTGCAAATAGTCGCTGTACGATATATCAGCTTCTCTAAATTTTTTTAGCTTGTCCTTTTTATATATCTCTTCTTGTTCTCTTCATCTTCTTTTTATATTCCTCTCTCTCTCTCTCTCTTTCTCTCAATCAAATATTAAGCAGGGTTGAGGAGATGTATTTACTCTATATTGGCTCACTCATCTGCTGTATTATTCTTATCTATTTTGTTTTTATCTCTCTCGGTCTTTGCAAAGCTATGCTGCATGCTTTTCTCTCATGTTTAAAGCTTTCTAATTATCTCAATATAAAAGAAATAATAACATTTTAAAGATTTCAAAGGCTTTCTCTCCTTTACTCGTCTTTCTCTCTTTACATTTTCTCGGTATAATTTCCTTCTCTTTTCTTCTCTCCCCATTTTTCTTTTCGTTTTCTCTTTTTCTCTTTTATATATTTCCCCTCCTCTTTTTCTTTTTCGTCTTCTTTTTTCTTCTGTCCCATTCTCTTTTCATCTTATTTATTTTTTTATCCTTTTCCCCTTTTCTCTATTTTGTTTTTGTTTTTTTTTTCTTCCTCGTTCTACTCTTCCTTATTTTTCCTCTTTTTCGTTTTCCTTCACCTACGCAAATTTTTTTCTTTCTCTTCCTATTTCTCTTCCTCCTCCTCCAACTCCTATGTTATCCTCTTGACAAAGCTGACAGACTGGTTCTCTGGAGTTCAGTTGGTTAGAGATCAAGTTCGAATCCTGTCAGAGAGCGCAAATGTTTCTTTATCAGAATTTCTTGAACATACAAAAATAAATAAATATACTGTTTAATATATAACGAAACGTCTACTCAAATACGAGTATCCACTAATAATAATGTTTAAAGTGATAAAAAAACAGCGCTATTGCTGTATACAGTGTTGACCACTCGGCAATGTTTGTTGTTTTAAAAAGTAATTATTAGAAATTCAATAAACATATGAAATTGAATGTATAAATTTTCTTTATTCTTGAGAACTGACAACTAAATTAAACTAGGTACCACCAAAGAAAAACTAAGCAAAGTTTTAAAATAAATTTTAAAAAAAATGAATAATCTTCTTTGAAGCCTTAATTTTAATTTTAATTTAAAAATAAGAGATTAAATTTAATATTTCAAATAAGCAAAACACTTTGCTGCATTACAAACTGAATTTAAATTGGTTGGAATGAGTTCTTTTTATTAATAGTAAAAACACTTAAATATCCTGTATTGAAAAATCTGTCAAAAGAACGTAATTCTCTTTATTAAAAATATTTCAAAAATAAAATATACAGTTATGAAACTTAATTTGAGGAAGATTAGCTGATTTGAAGTTTAATTGATATGACTTGAAACAAATATTAGTTTAAAATATCGTAGAAAAGCATTTTAAACACTTTCTCGTTAGACTTATGTTTGCGGATTTTTATTAGGGGGACATAACTGTAACAATTACTTTACAAATAAAACATGAAGGTCTTTTTATATAATTTTTTAACTCCCCAGTAATCTTGAAAATTTAAGAAAATACTAGAAGCAATCTAATATTTTATTGAATTTTAGGAACTTTGGCGTTATAGTCTAATTTCCGAAGACACATGTTGAGGAAATGGTAGAAAATTACCAATATATTTTAGTAAGCTTTGCCATTTATGATTAGTAAATACAGTCTTAATTTAATAGCAATATCACTTGACAGCAATAAATTGATAAAGAAATTTAAAAGATTTAAAAGTTTATAAATTATTCTAATTAAAATTTAAAAAATGAAAAATCTTCTTGTAAAAATTCATTATTCATCGAAGTCTATATTTGTTTAAGACAATACTGCCCATAATATATTTTATAGAAAAAGCAGTTAAAAACTTTTCTAATTAAATAATGAATTAGTTTTATTGCATTTTTATTTTACTATTCAGAGCAGATTTACTGTAACTGGGAGTCCTGTTTGACCAAATGAATTTCGAGATTTAAATACTCCGAGAACTTGTACTAATAATCTGTATAGACATTGAGCGCTACAAAAAAGAATTTCTAGAAATTTCATAAAATTATTAGGTTGGTTACATTATTAATTATTACATTTAAGTTTATATTCTTTTCTTTTTCTTTTACATTTGGCTATATATATATATATATATATATATATATATATATATATATATATATATATATATATATATATATGTATATATATAATATGATAAAATTAATTGGTAATCCGTATGGATAATTCCAGGGAGGATATATAAATCCCGAGAGCTCAATGTAACAACAGAGCAAATGATAATTATTTAAGAAATCGGAGACTTCAGAAAGCTATTTTATTTCGCAAAATCGAGACTTCGATTTCGATTCTGAACTAGACGGTTTCAAAGAAATCTTTCTGAAGTTTCCAATTTCTTAATTATATATATATATATATATATATATATATATATATATATATATATATATATATATATAATTTCATGGCCATTTCGAACTTATTCAAGATGATCTTCGCCCTTTCTAACCTTCTAACTTTCTGTCCTGGAGTAACAAGTTGCCTCACTGTTTTCACGTATGATTTCATTTTCAAGTCTTTTCACAGCTCTTTGGACTTTCATGGGTGAAACTCCTCTCTCAAGGGCCAACCGTCTTATGGATTGAGTTGGATCTTTTCTAATGGATCCCTTTTAGTTCTAAGTTGGAAAGATGATCTCTCTTCCTGTTGCCACCTGCTGATCCAGTTTACCTCTCTAGTATTTCCTCTTTTTAAAATTATTCAACGTTCTCTGGATAGTTCTTGAATGGATTTGAAGATGGAAGCCAGAGATATGAATGTTGGTACCATTAATGAAGGCCTGAATGATCTTTTTCCTTTCACCATTGTTCATTTAGGAAGACAGTAGGGCTGACACAAACCGATTTTAACTTTTAGCTAAATAACTCAAAGGGTTTTTCAGTGATTCTTGCGACAAATGATGTCAATATGGCTGAATGTTTTATCTGGGAAAATGAAACTCAATTAGTTCAGTGAACTTTTTAGTTATTAAACATTTTATGAGATTGACAATTATGTTTTACAAGTTTTGGATAATTTTGCTGTCACACCCACGGTATATATACATCCCAAAATTTGCTAAAGAAAAAAAGAGGATATATGATTAAAAAAAATGCACAAAAACATATTGTCAAAACCTTTGTACTATTAAGATGAAAGATCAAAAAATTTGTTTTTATGAAAAAAAGAGGATTTTTTAATTCCTTTTTGTAACCCTAGAAATTTTAGTTAAATTTTTGTTTTTCTGACGTTTTTCTGAAATTTCAACGTCTTTTTGCAGTGGAAAAAATATTAAGTTGGAAATACTTGCAAAATTTAGATAATTGTCAGATTTTAATTAAACCTTCAGAACTTATTCAGAACTTATTCAAATTATTTTGCAAATCCCTAAAGTTTTTCAGGAAATACTTGCATTTTTTTTGACATCTTTTACACTCCACGCATTTAACTTTATCAAATTTAGAGAAAATATTTTTTGTAGCGATTACTTTTTAGTTATAAAGTCCTCTGAAAATTTAAATCGTCAGATTTCTTTGGTCAAACTTGATTGCTTTTAATCGTAAAATAAATGCAATAGAATTTATTCAATAAGAAAATCTTTTAATTGCTTTTATGAATAAAATGTATTATGAACACAATTATCTTAGGAAAAAACTTTTCTGTCATGAATAGTGAATTTTTACAAGATTTGCCATTTTTTTTAAAAAATTCAATTAAAATAATTCATATATTTTAAAACCTTACAAAATCCTGAATTAAGTGATATTATTAAATTAAAACTGTATTTAATAATCATAAATGAAAAAGCACACTACAATTCAATTACTCCCAATGTTTTAAAAACAATTTTGAATCTATTTTGTATGTACAGACGTGTCGATTTTTGTAAATACGGCGGTTCATACAATGTTATAATTCTCAGTCTATCATTTTAGACATTCTGAAAATTGAAACTCAAAATTTAACGCCCTAAGAGTTAAAATGTATTTGAATGGATACTGCTTTATTATAGCTATATATAAGTCTTTTTAATTGAGTACTCTTCGAATAAGTAGTCGATTACATCATTAAACTAATACTTGCTATCTGGACATTCTTTAACGATTGTAAATATTTAACATTATCACTGGTTGTGAAAAATTATTGTTGTAAATATGTCAGATATAATAGATTGCCGTGGAGATTCTTATCATTAAGTTTTTAAATATTTCAAAATGTTTTTTTAATATTGAATGGTGACCAGTTTCACAATTGACTAAAGTGAATTTTATTTAGAATTTAGTTGAATTTATAGTAATTTTAATCCTATAATTTTTTTAAAATTTTTTTAATTTTTATAATCTATCCTATAATTTTACGTGTAAGAAACATTTTTCGGTGTTCTAATTAAATATCATGGCGACTGGGTCATAACAAAACATTTTTCGGTGTTCTAATTAAATATCATGGCGACTGGGTCATAACAAAAACCATTTACGAAAATGTCGATAGCTAGAGAGCATACGCTACTCCCCTGAGATCTGTTGTTCATATATTCTGTGAGATAATTATGTGAATGTGTGTGGATGTGTAATGAAGTATATCAACTTCTTAAACGTCGATTTGGTCATTGAGAGATGTAGGGTCATGCCAGAATAGATTCTGTACTCAAAATCACACCGGACTATACTAGGTAGTGTTGGGGTGTCGGCGAATGTAGACTCATGTGACCTTACGGCTGCACCTGATTTTGAAAGCCTGGGAACGAACTGCATGACAGATAGATATATAAAACACCACCAACAGAAATTGAGCAGTCTCTCATACATTACAGATGAGATTGTAGGATCCACGCCCCGAATGAGAAATCTACGGCATAACACTCATACACACTGGCTGACAGTAGCCAACGAAGTTTTAGAGTGAAATAAAATGTAATGTTAAATACGAAAGATTCAAGTCTTTTGTTATTGATTTGTCTGAACCGTTACTTCATTGCTAAGAACCCTTCTGTTGAAAAATATGATTGCAATTCTTCGTTTCGGACAAATGAAACGAGGTCTTGTCATTTAAGAAGAGAAAAAAAAACTGTGTTGAGAGATTTGCTTTCATCTTACTGTTCGTGTTTAGGAATGAGTGTTTGCTTCGAGGAGAGCTACAGAAGTACATGTCGAGGAGAGCTACAAAAGTACATGTCTTATTCCGAGTACAGTCATTGGAGAAAAGAGCGAACCAACCCCTTTACGGGAAGTTTTTTTTTTTTCAAGCGTTTCACCTCAAGCAAGGCGGGAAGCCACTAGGACGCAAGGGGTTACAGAAAATTTGGAGCAAGATCAGATAGGAGTGATAGAAGAAAGGATGAGGAGAAGGGTAGTGGATAGATCAAGGCAACTGGAGATACAGAGACCAGAGAGAGAGAGAGAGAGAGAGAGTTAGTACCGGGAACCCCTTCCTAAACAAGAAACAAGGCGTAAGCCTCTACTCATGTCCAAGAGAACTTACTGAAAACTTATCGGTTTATGTCTTTTTTAATTCATCATCATCATTCCCATATCATGGTGTGGTCGCTGGACGATGTCAGCTCATTTTTCTTGTGTTTGATTTTTCTTCTTGGTATATTGTTGGACGGCAGTGAAAATAGTGTTGACTGTTATGA